ATGAGTCCTAAGACAATATCGCGTAAGATCAAAAAAGAAAAGTGCAGTTCTACGTGTAAGAAAGGAGACATGTCATGCTCGATATATGTCATTATATGAATAGAATCTTGAATATCGAAAAAAAGGATTATTTGTCGTGTTCGAAGCAATACAAAACTATATAGATTTCAAATTTCATCTGACCAGTCTCTCCCAAAAAATCATTTTGTAATAATGTAGGGTGATTAAAAGTCTCATTCAATTTTGTACTTTAAACGTTTGTGCTGTTTAAATATAAAGGTATGGCTGTTTCACATTGAGTATTAGATGATATAAATGTGTCAACATAGTGAGAAAAAGAAAAATAACATGCTGGTTATTTGATAAGATAAGTAGTGACGAACACAGCACTAGCACAATAAATATTTACGAGAAGAAGGAATAATTCTTTTATAGATAAATTAAATAATGGCGTTTTTCAATGCATTCGTTAGTTTTCTAAAAAAACTGGTCTTATTTATTTTGATTGTGGCTGTTGTTATTCCGCTGCTATATGGATCAACAAATCCTCGATATCTTACTCTTCGTTTGCTACACTCAGTATTAACATTAAAACATTCTCTCCTATCAGATCAAGCTAGACCAACACTTAGTGCTGAGTATCGAGCTTTTGAGAATGTATTACGTATGAAACCGCTAATAAAACATGATGCATTGGCAGATCCAATTATCAGAGTCAAAGACTTGCGTTCCACCTTCAGCACAAATAGCATTATTCCAAAACCATCACAATGTCAAATCAATAAAGAAGTATTCGTTCATGATGGACATTCAGTAGACACCTATTGGATTAATTATCCTCCAAGAAAGTTGCAAAAAGATTCCGATAAATTATTGCTCTACTTTCATGGTGGAGGATATGTATCAGGCGATATTCAGAGTAAGTAATGTTTCTTATATTGAAACAAATGACTAAACCTTTGTTATATTTTGATAGGTCATAGTGGTTTTGAATGTCATTTATCTGAACTTTTCAATATAACTATTCTTCATGTAGAATATCGTCTTGGTCCAGAACATCCACTCCCTGCAGCTGTCGATGATGCAATTGCAATCTATCGTGCACTTTTTTATCAGAAGATTTCACCATCTCAAATGCTTTTTATGGGTGATTCAGCTGGTGGTGGTCTTGTTCTACTAACAATTCAAGCTTTACTTGCTCATCAATTACCTGTTCCTCGTGGTGTTATTGCTTTGTCTCCATGGACTGATCTTTCAACATCTGGTGAAAGTTATAAACGCAATCGTGAAATTGATGTATTGCTTTACGGTGACGATATCGACTGGGGTGCCTCACAATTACTCGGTCTTAATCATTCTCAATTATTGCTAAATAGTCCTCTAGTGAGTCCTCTTTTTGGTTCATNGTTTTAAATAGAATGAATATTCACAGTATTGTGTTGTAGAGCATTAGCGAGATGTTCTGCTCCTCTATCTCCGATTTGATTCTCCCGAAGGTCAAGTGTTGGGGGTGTCTGTGTGAAAAGTGTAGATGTTGCATGCTATGGTTTTAGATAGAATGAATATTCACAATGTTGTGTTGTAGAGCATGAGCTACTTGTTCTGCCTCTTGTAACGATTTATATATATATATACTTGAGCTCTTGTGTCGCGCGGTTGATTCGTCTGTTTCTTTGTTCGATTCGATCGTTGACTCTTCATTTTGGAAGCAGTACCGCTAATATGAAATTGGATTGTATTGGAATAGGCTTGATCTTAGTACTGTATTGAATTAGAAAAATCTTTATATTTCATATTATTTTATACTCTTTGATATGGGAGTGTTTCATTAAAATAGAAATCTTCGATTTTAATCGATCTCTAATATTCTGTTGTGTTCCTCTCGAAATTTAACTTCCGAACTATCGATTTACGCAGCCATTTGTGGACTTCCGCTCATAATAGCATTAAATATTAAATAACTAAATTCATAAATCAGCACCGAAACTTTCAGACGAGCTCTCAAACGAATTAGAAAAGAAAATTACGCCTATATCGCAATGGGTTTCGCACATTCTTGCACTGACCTAAAATCCGGATAATTTTAGCAAGACAAAAGCTATTCTGCAACGCCTAACTATACGAAAAAGACTTCACCTACTTTGATTGAGCTATACAGGTCATTCTGGCGAGATTACTCTCAACACACTTTAACAAAACTTACAACATAAAATCTAAGGAAAAAGCTGCAAAATACATCAAATCTTCCTTCATTACTGTCTATTGCTACTTATATTCCTTAAGTCTGAATACTCAAACTCAATATATGACCAGTAGAATCAGCAAAAAAGAATTAAACCATGCAAATCCAATCTCCTAACAGTTTGACAAACTCAGTCCAACACAGCGGCGGCATTCTTCATAATTATTTCTTTATATTGTTCATATAACTGACCTTCACTTACGTTCCTCAAACATCAACTCAAACAAATTTATTACTATCTTTCGCTCTGATCTTCATTATAGAATAGCGTCATCTACACTTTTCACATAGACACTAACAACACTTTACCTCAAAGACAAAGGAATCGAAGATAGAGGAGCAGAACAACTAGCTCATGCTCTACAACACAACATTGTGAATATTCATTCTATCTAAAACCATAGCATGCAACATCTACACTTTTCACACAGACACTCACAACACTTGACCTTCGGGAGAATCGAATCGGAGATAGAGGAGCAGAACATCTCGCTAATGCTCTACAACACAATACTGTGAATATTCATTCTATTTAAAACCATAACATGTAACATCTACATTTTTAACACAGACACTCACAACTCTTAACTTTGACTGGAATCGAATCGGAGATAGAGGAGTAGAACATCTCGCTGATGCTTTAAAACACAACACTGTGAATATTCAGTCCATCTAAAACCGTATCATTTAACTATCTATACTTTTCATACAGACACTCAAAACACTTGAGCTCTGGAAAAATATAATCGGAGAGAGAGGAGCACAATATCTCGCCGATGCTTTAAAACACAACATTGTGAATATTCATTCTATCTAAAACCGTACCATTTAACTATCTACACTTTTCTCACAGACACTAACAACACTTAACCTTAACGCAAATGAAATCGGACAGATAGGAGCAGAAAATCTCGCCGATGCTCTACAGCAAAACACTGTGAATATTCATTCTATCTAAAACTGTACTATTTAACTATCTACATTTTTCACACAGACACTCGCAACACTTAATATCGGAGGCAATGAAATCGGAGACACAGGAGCCGAACATCTTGCTAATGCTCTACAACACAATACTGTGAATATTCATTCTATCTGAAACCGTACCATTTAACTATCTACATTTGTCACAGGCACTGACAACACTTGAACTCTGGAGGAATACAATCGAAGAGAGAGGAGCAGAACATATTGCTGATGCTCTAAAACACAATACTGTGAATATTCATTCTATCTGAAACCGTACCATTTAACGATCTACAGTTTTCACACAGACACTCACAACAATTCACATCGGAGGCAATCAAATTGGAGACAGAGGAGCAGAACATCTTGCTAATGCTCTACAACACAATACTGTAAATATTCATTTTATCTAAAACTGTACTATTTAACCATCTATACTTTTCACACAGACACTCATAACACTTGATGTCGCATGCAATAAAATCGGTACAAGAGGAGCAGAACATCTTGCTGATGCTCTAAAACATAATACTGTGAATACTCACTCTATCTAAAACTGTACCATTTAACTATCTACACGTTTCACACAGACACTCACAACGCTTAATATCGGAGGCAATGAAATCGGTGCCAGAGGAGCAGAACATCTTGCTAATACTCTAAAAAACAATACTGTGAATATTAATTCTATCTAAAACCGTACCATTTAACTATCTACACTTGTTACGCAGGCACTCACAACACTTGAGCTCTGGATGAATAAAATTGAAGAGAGAGGAACAGAACATATCGCTGATGCTCTACGACACAATTCTGTGAATATTCATTGTATCTAAAACCATACTATTTAACCATCTATACTTTTCACACAGACACTCACAAAACTTGATTTTGGAAGCAATAAAATCGGTGCCAGAGGAGCAGAGCATCTTGCTGATGCTCTAAAAACTAATACTGTGATTAGTCATTCCATCTAAAACTGTACCAAGTTTAACTATCTACACTTTTCACACAGACACTCACAACACTTAATATCCGAAGCAATGAAATCGGAGACGAAGGAATAGAACATCTTGCTGATGCTTTACAACACAATACCGTGAGCACATATTCTGTTTAAAATCGTATAATTTTACGATTTGCACGTTTCACACAGACACTCACAACACTTCGTGCCGAATTGAATAAAATCGGAGACAGAGGAGCAGAACATGTCGCTAATGCTCTACAACACAATACTGTTAGTACATATTCTATCTAAAACTTTAGCATTATGCCATTCACACTTTGCACACAGACACTCACAACGCTTGACGTTTGGGGAAATTCAATTGAAGACGAGTTGTTGAGGGGGGTGATGAAATTGATCGACCGTAATAAGGGTGAAAAAAGTGTGGAAAATTAAGAGTGAGAACGGTGTGATGAGCAGTGATAAACAAATCTATTAAATATACGACTTAAGTCTATTGTTTTCCTTAGATTCTTACTCGACAGGATGTTCTTCGGATCTCAATAAATTTAAGTCAGCTAAACATTTTTAGGTTTTTTTGGGCCGAAAGTTGTAGATATGGGATTCTTCTATTCTTGGAAATAGGATATGTACTTTGGACGAAGCGGAATTGTGTATATCTCGAGTTTATCAAGTCGCATATATATTTTTTAAACATACTCCCGACAATGAGCGATATTAAAATAGATGTTTCAAGCGTATCACTTAGCGGGATTCCTAAATATGTTATATGACAGGATGGCGTGTGAACGATGAGGGAGTGCATGGGTCTTGGTCTGGTGGATGGGGTTATGTATAAATGTCGTTCTTCTGATCACAGCCACAGCCACACTCATCCACACCTACACACCCACACGCACACCCACTCCGTCATAGTGTGAACAACGACTTATAGTAGGAGTCATATCAAGAAGTATTTCAATGATGATGGAATTAAAAGCACTGAAACTCTTGGAAATCTTAACGCTAGATAGTTCGTTAGATGAGCCAAAAAAAATATTACGATGTTCACCGATACTCACGATCGCGGATACTAGTGAGAATGAGAATACAGAAAGTTGCTGGCTTGAATATTTATGAGTCATTGAATAAGAATGATGTTAATGTAAAGAAGTTCATCACAGTTTCATTTGATTTCATCGAATGATCAAGTTTGGCTTGATTTAATCAATTCCTTCTCAAAACCAAAGTGGAATCACATTCATTATTATTTGATTGCTCAAACGATCTTCAATTTTCTCATACATCATTTTGTTGTTTGAAAATAAATTATATGTGTATATTTATGCTTTTTACGAGGGCATTGAAAAAACAATAAATTGAAAATGCTGAAACGTTCAGAAAGCATTAATTTATTTTCAAGCGACAGTTTCATATTAAAAAATTGCCAGAAATAATTGAGTATGTGGATGTGAATGTGAGTTATCGGAATACTTTCGTCCACAAATGTTCAACAATTTAGAGGATACAATGTCAATCTGATTCTTTATGCTATGCTTTATTCAAACTTCAACAGAATAGTAAAAATTGAAAAAGCCTAATTCATTTTAATGAAAAGAATTGAAATTTTTGACATTGATTTTTCAAAATTTAGATGGTCTTCACGTTTTTATCATAGAAATCTTGAAGTTACCTATAGAGATGATCAAGTAATATTACATGTACTCGAAGTTATTGCGTGATTGTTCGCAATCTTCAAATTTCTATCACCTGCATTTGCAAATTGAATTCCTTTGATTTGGTTTTTATTGAATTCTAATGTTCTCTGACGAATATCATTCAAATCAGCATCGATATTTTTATGTTCGTCTGTTGTAATAACAAAATCTGGAACTTGTACGTCGTTATTGTCATCGTAATTTTCATCATCCGAATTATTTACCATTTTTGTCATATCAACAGTCTCTGAATTGTCTAATGATATAGTCATGACTTGGGATCGTATTTCTTCGTCATTTCTCATCTTGGAAAGTGAATGCCGTCCATTTAAACGAGTAACGATACGAAAGAGACTAGTAGGTGACGCAAACTTTTGTACATTTGCTTGGCCATTTTTCTTCTTTTTAGATTGCTGGTTGGTTTTATCGTTATCATCATCAAGATCAAATTCATCTTCATCGCTTGAACTCATATTGCCACATTTCTCCACATGATCAACAAGTCTTTTTGTTGCAGATTTGCTCAAACGCTGAAGATTTCTATTGCAAAAACAAAACTATAAATGTGTTTCTAACTATAAGTTTGGCAAGGAAATGAGACTGATTCTGTCGCTGTCTAATCAATTAATTTATAATAAGTTTCGTAAAATTGGCCATTTTTAGCACAATTTTCCTTCTTTATTTTCAAATTTTAGATAGCATTGGTCATAATTGAGAAGAATATTTCTCATTTGAATTGATTGTCAATTCGAGAGTCAATAAAAATAAAACTAATCTGAGGAATTCGATTTGCATTACATCTTTCCAAATGTGTGGTATGTAACAGCCTATTGATATAGTTGACTAACTCCTACACTGAAAAAAAAATAGGTGCCATACGAAACCCAAAAGGTATCCGATTTTTGCAACCAAATCGAAATCCTTTGAGGTTTCGTAGAAATTAGGTTTCGTAAAAAGCCTTAACTTTTAATAGCTGATAACAAGGGTTTCGCACATGGGGTTCCGTATAATTCACCATGAAACATTAAACGAATGTTTCGTCGAATGCTATACTCCATTACGGAAGTAGTTTTGCACCACTATACAATGCAAAACACACCCACTCTCTAATAACAGAACCGGGCTCTGTAGAAATCGACATGAAAGATGCCTGAGAATCACCGTATCCTATAGGAAAACACACGATATCGCTAGGAAATGGAAGCAGTATTCCGACCTCAAACTTTCCCAAATTTTTTGCATGATTTCCGCCGCATCTTGCCGTAAGATGCAGCAAGTTCGTCAGAACTCACTAGAAATAAAATCAGAAAGGTTTCGACCAGGAACCTGCTTCCATGTCCAAGTGATACCATATCTTTTCCTACAGCACACGGCGATTTTCAGGCACTTTTCTACCAGTTACTCCAGGTGCCGGTGGGTGGAACGATCGGCATGTGATGTGTGATATAAATATAAATAAAATAATTCATCAGCTTTTAACTTTCAAAATCGAACTCACCATTAATTTTTGTTCATCTGACAATTGATCTAAACAGATATAAACTATTTCATCAGGTTGTAACTTTTAAAGTCTAACTCACCATCAATATTTGATCGAGTGATAATTGATCTAAATAGAAATAAACTATTTCATTAGGTTTTAAGTTTGAAAGTCGAACTCACCATTATTATTTGTTCAACTGACAATTGATCTAAATAGAAATAAAGTATTTCATTAGGTTTTAAGTTTTAAAGTCGAACTCACCCTTATTGTTTGTTTATCTGATATTTTTCTAACTAAAAAACAGAATATTTCATTACGTTTTAACTTTTAAAATCGAACTCACCATCAATATTTGATCGAGTGATAATTGATCTAAACAGAGATAAACTATTTCATCAAGTTGTAACTTTTAAAGTCTAACTCACCATTATTATTTGATCAAATGACGTTTGATCTAAATTAAAATTAAAAGCATAATGATCGCCTCTACGACTCACTTCACCCTCGACTGAATAACGTAGAAGTATTTTCGCTAGATACTGATATCGATAGGAACGATCTATCAATTATATCTCTGTATATCGACTCACAGGGCTCCTGAATTGCAAATACTCAGAAAGGGTTTCATTGTAAAATAATTGTAAGCCAACGCATCTTTAAACAAAACATTATATACAAAGCAAACTATCAAAATCCACTTTGGCTTTAATTATTAAACTCTTCTGCCGCAAAAAATACAACGATATTATGAGGCGCTAATGTATGCTCACGCTATGTCCATCGAATCTTTAGAAAACTTTTATGACAAGGATGAAACAATTTGGTGTTCGATGAACCGAATTTCTCACCAATGGGAGCGCGAATCGAAAAATTGATGACGGATTTGGATTCCTGGACCTCCATAACCTATTGCAAACTTGCATCAGAATTGAGAAAGGAGTTGAAATAAAAAATTTTATTTGTCAGCAGTCCAATTTTTGATCGATGCAGTTTTATGCTCGAAAAGGTTCTTCTGAGATATTTTGAAGTCAAGTTATGGTCTGTGTTGTGAAGCATTCAAGATTTTTTAAACTGTAAAAATCTTTTAGAGATTTGAACATACTCGGAAACAGATTTGGTTTTTCAGTATCGTTTTTGAAGAGGAATAACAAAACTCTTCACGAGTCTCAATGAAAACCAATTCAAATTTAATATTTCAGATGTTCACTTCTCATAGGCAGAATTCTTTCGGGAACCTAAATCGACTATCAAGAAATTAATTAATTCTAATGGTTGTTTACTAAGAAACAAATTTTGAACGAATTAAAGAAGAATATGCACAACTCTATAATTTCTAATGGTGACTCACGTAAAAATAAATTCTACATGAGCCTGAATAGAGTTCCTTGAAAATTTTGAACGGTAGAAAAAATAAATAATTATTTTGAATGGTAATTTATCGATGAACGAATTCTACACAAGGTATGTTACCAAACCTTTATCATTGAGAAACTCAAAAGGGTTTTTGACCAAACCTCTGGGATAACACAAAATTCGAAAGGTTCAGGACGAAACCTTTTTATATTTTAAAACTCTTTGAAGTGTTTTACAAAACGTTGGATATTGCTAATCCTCATACAGGTTTCGCATGGTTCTACGGATACTTATATAGTATAGTAAAACTCTACGAAACCTCAGAGGTTTCGTGTGACACCTTTTTTTTTTTCAGTGTAGAGTGTACTCACTTTTTGAGTACACAAAAAGAGCAATTCGTTCACACCTATACGTTGGATGAAAACATGAACAATGAAAAAAAAGACGAAACTGAAAAGAAGAATACGAGAATATTATCAAAGATAATATTACTTCAATATTGTGCCAATGTTTTTGCATGAAATATGGTAAAGAATGCCTACAACTTTCAGAATACACTATTATTTGTTTTTGAAAAAAGTACTTCTTAGACTAAAAGGATAGGATGTGAAAACGAAAATTCATCTGTGTCTGTCTGTCTGTCTGTTCGTTGGTAACACTCAAAACATGATAACTGCAGCATAAACGACCAATGTTTCGGTCAAAAACGACAATTTCCAACGCAGCAGTGATGTCTTCTATGGTCGAAACAAGACTTTCTGTGACTGAAAGACCCATTTCTATATCACAAATTAGCGTTTCTATGGTGCAGATGACCATTTTCATGGTATGAATAGTGGTGTTTGTGGTAGAAATGACCATTTTATATTATGAAATGAGTTGGTTTTTGCCGAAGGACTTGACTTTAAGTATCAAGCCATTTCTTGCATCTTTCTAGCATCTATTTCTTACAGACTACTTATACCTAGATTTCCTTATAAGTATAGCTGAATGCTGTCGGTCTATGATAAGGTGTATCGATTTTCGATACGTGTTACTCGTTTCAATAATGACAGTATAACTCCTACTGAATGAATAATTTATTTAGTTTTTTCTGTCTATTCAAACTGTTAACAAAATATCAGTTTGACAGAAAAAATAATCAAAGAACTAGATAAGACAAATAGAAAGGATAATAATGACGAAAAAAGTCTATTGTTTCAATAGATATATATATATAAGTATCACACAATAGGAGATAGAAAGAAGAAAATGAATGATAGAATAAAGATATTCTCATATATGTCTATATATAGAAAAAAAAAGATATTTAACGATTATAATTGTTCATTTGTATTGCATTTAAGTCTTGTTCAGATTGTTGAGAAAAATAACGAGATTCTTCATATGTGTTCCGCTACATATATGTTGTTTGTTGCGATGGTATTAGTTGAAATGAATCAAACTTAAAATTAAATGCAGCATTTATTTGAAGAGGTATATCTGTTTGAAATGATGAGACTTGTTGTGGACTAGGAATCCATCCAGCAGGGATTCCAGAAGTATATAAGCAGTTGATATAACGTTATTCCATGTATATTGAGATGTAAGTGGTGGAGCACTACCATAATCAACACCCAATTCACCTGGTGTTAATGTTGATCGACCAGTATTATTTGAACCACTAGTTGATGAAGTTTGTTCAGTGGGAATATTACGTCCATTACCCTAATCATGTTGTTGATCGGTTGGTTGATGTTGAACATGTTGTGATTGAACTAATGGCCAATTAGAAAAAATACTTGGTGGATTAATGGTTGCTGATGAATATGAACCGTGCATACGTGGATCTTAAGAAATAAAGAATAAATAAGATATGCTTGATTTTAATTAACTTTCTCTGGATAAAATTCTCTATAATGAAATGAAGACAGACCTGAAGTAGCAGGTATTTGTGTGGAACTAGCTGATGGAAGCCACATATTTTGATGTTGACCAACGACTGATGCTGCTTGAATAAGACCTGATGTATTACCAGGATGATAAGTAGATGGAGTTTGTAATTGAATAAATGGAGGAGTTGCTTCTACTCGATTATAAAGATAATTAATTTAAAAAAAAAAGAGATCGAGTATACATACGTTCTGTAACATAATTAGGTGAATTATATCGAATTGATGAAATACCAGATATTTGTTGTTGTTGTTGTGGAACATTTGATTGTCCTGGATGTTGAATAGAAGCAGCAGGACATATTTGTCTACTATTACGTAGAACAGTATCGATTTGTTTGCTCAAATTATCAATTAACGCTTGTAATCGTACCATTGCTCTGAAAAAAGAAGAAGTATTTTAGAAAGTTGAATTTCTAATATTCAAATAAAACTTAGTCTTTTTATTGTAATAATCCTTGATGTTCACCCGGAATGAATCATGATAATCATTTATATGCATGTCAACAATGAAGAAACCGCCATGACTAAGAAATTGACATGCAATTTTAAAATGGTTTATCTGATAAATAGTTAAATGCTACAGCAAAAAGAAGACATTTTTTTAAAATTAAATTGCGCCCTTACTTGTTGTTCTACTGTGAATCCTTTTATTGTCTTCATGATATACCGAAATATTACCATATACCGATCCCAATCGTTGACAAACTTTGCTGTCGAAAATGTTTCTTTGAGTTGTGGATGATTGTACATTTTAATTCTAAAAGAGATAATATTTTTCCCAGCATTTATCTTTAATAATTTCATATTTAGATTAGAGGCTATTGATTGATATGGATTTCCTTTTGTATGTTTAAGTTTGCTTAAGGCCCTCCCCCCCTTCAGAAAAGCCATTTTTTGGTAAAGTAAACGAAGTCGAGTTTTTATCATAGAAAGATGCAGCGAAGTTTCCTCTTTCAGAATATATATAAATTTTTAAAAAAAGGTCAAATTTTTATAGACCTTCGTAGGAGCTTTCCACATCACTACCCGGTTTTCGGAGAGATTTTCACGGTTTTTGTAATTTTTGGGCAGACTACTTTTTTACTTCTATCAGCATGGAATCAACATTCTTATATCATATAGTACGACCTGTAGTGCTAGCTTTCGCCATATATTGCGTTCTTTCAAAAATTTCACATAAATATTGTTATTATACCATTATTTCCTGCATTTGAATGAAAAATCCATTTCTAAAACTTCTGTAGAGGTCTTCTGAAAACATGGTTTCCAGACAAGAAAATTGAAATAACTCCCTCTCGGATCGCGCTATATACAATATTTTTTTTTGTTTTAAAGGTCTCAATGAGACTAAACTTTGTCCGACCAGTTTTTTTAAAGTCGATTCCTGTGATGAGAAAAGTAGAAATTACTGTAGTTCGATCACCATTTTTTATACTAATTTTTAGACCCTTCCACTAAAATGGTCATAAAAGTCAATAAGATTGAGTTTAAAAATTCTGTTCAGACAAAAGTTGCGTACTGACATTAGCTTTAATTTGAGGCAAGGCCGAGCTCGATACCTCGTGTTATGAGGAAGTTATATCAATTCTCCTGAAGGAAAAAGATGACCTATGATTCAGCTGAAACTATGGTCTAGTAAGGCCAATCGGGCTGAAATTTTTACCAGGAGCAGACCTCTCCAGGATCACTTATCCCTGAAATTTTCAGCTCAAAAGACCCATTCTAAGTGAGAATTCATGTCTGAGGGGGGGGGGGGGGCCTTAAATAACCGAATTTTTTTCCGATAATAATATTTTCACTATCAGAAAAATTAGATAAACAAGCAATAGAAACTAAATAATGGAAAACAAATTAAAAAAATCCATAGAAAATAGTTGTCTTTGTTGTTAATGATAATGGACCGTTTCGAAATGATTATTATCTATATTCATTGAAATTAATCATCATTATTTGAAAATTTCTAATAAATACAAAAAATTAAAAAAACGAATTCTTAACATTTACTTTGTACGGACAAAATAAAGAATTCGATGTACAAAATACAGATATCAGTCGAGTGCAATGAACAGCATTCGAGAATTAATAAGTATGAGGAAATGATTGTAATTCTAACTGATCAGAATTTGTTTCCACAAATATATGATACCCTTTAATAATCCAATGAAAAAAATCATTGTTTTTGAAAAGTGAAAAGTGATTAAATAAACAGGTACTATCACATTAATCAGCATAACAAATTTTTACAACTTGATCAGTTTTCATCTCGAATATATGAATATCATGATCTTTTCCATACGTTAGAAAAGATTTAAAACAAATTGGATTCTAGTTATTTAAATATTAAACGAAAAAGGTAGATGAATTGTCCATTGTTTGTGTAACAAACACCAGTAGCATCAACTATTAAATGAATCAAAATGACGAATAAGACTTTTATTATTTAGGCTAAATTTAAACAAAAGATATCTTAATAGAGGCATCTGATTATTTGAAATGAAAATAATGAAATCTTTTTCGTCGAATCTAACATGATTTTCTTTCTTTCTTTCTGTTATATTTATTGATAGACGACGAACGAATAACATTTATTCAATGTATATTACTAAATTCATTCTTTTCTGCTTTGATATGATTCATCTTCATATAACATTAAACAAAATTTTTTGAACAATTTTATTTTAAATATAACTCTCTTAAAAAATAGACTTCTGAGGAGTGATTTACATGAAAAATATAATTATTGTCTATACTAGATAAAAGAAAAGTTTCACCTTTAAATATTGAATCATAGTGAAAGTGGACATACAACAGTCTACATGAGTCAATTTTGCCCAATATGGCATAAGAAAAATGACTATTGTTTTTATTAGAAATCATACTTTAACAAAAAAAACAACATAAGTTTATCTGGATTAATAAACTAATATTTTGTCTGATATAGATCAGAGTAGAATTGTTTGATGATCGATTACTACAAACAATACCTGTTGTTTATTGATAATAATTTAAATCTTTTTTCACTTATTTTCTTCAGAAGAGATATTACTACATATTTTAATAAATGATTTTTTTTGCATTATAACTGGTTGAAAAGAGTCACAGATGTTGCCTTCTTTGCAGAGATGTTGAACGCGGCTGAAAATATACCGCGGTCTTAGGAGAGACAAGGCTTTCGCGCTACAACTAACTATAAAGAAGAAAATTGTCATCATAATAGCAGCAGCGAGAACGCCGCCATGGATATCTCTGTTTCTTTGCTAGATTTTGTTCTATATTCATGATATATTCATACCTAATAAAAATCTGACTTGAAACTGGTGGTTAAACTGATTTCACATAACAGATACTTTTTTTTACATCATATTTATCATATACAATATGAACTAACTAACGAGATGACACTGACTATGTTATTTGGAATGTGTACAGTGATTCTTGATTATCAAGGTCAATCACTTGATGATATCACTTTTTAATAAATTTTTATTCATATCAATAAATCATTTTTCATGAAGTTTTTCTACCATTTTTGTATGATTCTCACAGATAAATTGGCTTATTATTATTTTTGGTAAAGAATAATGTTGCACAAGAATTTGATAAAATTGATAAATATTTGTTAGAAAAACTAATACAAGATCATCAACATAGAAATGATCATCATTATACATTAATTAAAAAGTTTGTTTTAATAAACAGAATTCTTGAAGTAATTTGGGTTGATTAGAGAGAGCAAAAGTTTTAATAGAAAAGTGATTATCAGATCATTTTTGTTTTGAATGTGTACAAAATTTAATTCCTCTTTCAATTTTATTATCATTTGACATTTGCTTTAGAATTTAGTAATGAAATATGATTATTGAGTTTAATTGTTTCTTTTGATTTCATTGATGAATTAATATTATTCATGTCATAATCGATGAAGATACAAGAAGGAAAAGCGAGACTTCAATACTTCAAGTAAAAGTTCGAAGTGCGAGTGAAGTACGGCGAAGTACGACTAACAAAAGTACAATGAAGTACGCACTCCTGAAGTCTCGCTTTCTCCCCTTTGTGAACGTATGATGATTATCTAGCGTTCGTTCGTTCGTACCATACGTCAAAATATTTATCTTCTGCTGATATCAGTAGTTGATGAACTGTACTCAATGATATAGTAATATATTTATATTTTTGCAAGAATAAGGTGAATAATCCAGTATTAATAACGAGGAAGGATGACAAATAGTTGTTGATCTATAAATAATTAAAATTAGGCGGTATATCAGTAGAAAAAGAGTTAAGAATTTTATGAAATTTACTCTTATTTTATAAATTAGAATTAACTGAAAAGCTATCAAAGAATATTTATGATAGCATTCCGTACTTGTAGTACAAAAGTGAAGAATGTCAAAAATAGCATGTGATATTTATTCAAATACAAATGAGTAAAATATTTCTCCAAAACTAGAAGGATTCGAAAAATTTTAATGAGATGAAAATCTGAATCATCATCAGCTGTATGAAAAATATTCAAAGTTCGTAGAATTTTAAAGCTGAAATTTTATTTCAAAAAGAAATCGGTGTTGTTGAGATCGCAATATTACTTCTCGATGGCTGAAAATCATTACTGTCTGTTAATAATGACAGTAATGAGTGATTATATTCTAGAATCTGTATAGCACAATCATATTGAAGAGAAGGATGATCAGTCACTGATATCACATAATCAATTTTTGATCTATCTTTAGTTAAATGATAGACAATAGTTGATGATTCAGATAACACTGATTGATATTTAATTGATTATTCAGTCAGTTTTAAATCATTTATAACAAGTAACACTCGTTGCTTTGACTCGCTTGACCCTCGACTAGTGCTCGGCGTGACCAAGTTTTTGGGTCACGGTTACGATGGACACAAACCGTGACCGTGACAGTGAGTCACGACGATTTTCTATGAATTTTTACGACTACTTTTATAAAAGAGATATTACTTATCGGAGTTCAAGTATGCCGGTTGTGTCGATCAATGTGACATAATGTTTAGTATTTAATAATAGAATTTGTCATATAAAATAAATAATTAACTATTCGATTTCAGTTCAAATAACTCTGTTGAAGCAAAATTTCACGCAATGGCTCACCAACGAGAATATTTCAGTGACAATTTGAAAACAGAAAAGGAAGGGTAATAATGGTTGAGCAAGTGTAAAGTAGATTGTTTGTATTTTGAATGTTGACTCTATTTCTACCGAACTTTGAAGGGTTCGCACTGTTTTACGAAACAATTTTATGTTCGGTGGCATGAAAATGGTTTCGTAATTTTCATACAGAACCTCTTTAAGTTTCGAAAATTGAAGAGGGTTTCAAAGTATTACTACGAAATCCCCTAGAAGTTCTGTGCATTGTGTACTCAACTTGCGGTGGTTTCGTATCTTTTGTACGAAACCGTTGACAGTTCCGTATACCATTCATAGTTCCGTAAGTGCTCTAATAGTTCCGGAGACATTGTACGAAAATAGTCATGGTTTCGTAAAAGATATACGGAACCATTACATCATTTTCGAAACAATGGACGGTTTCGTACAATATATGCTGAATCTTTTGATGGTTTACGAAATCACTGATAGTTTCGTGGCAAAGCTAAAGGGTTCATATGTCTTTTACGAATCTACCCCAAGTTTCCTAAAACATCAAAAGGTTCAGTATACATTGTATGAAACTGCCCATCGTTTTGTAAAGGATGTAAACGCTCGGTATATCTTTTACGCAACCATGGCTAATTTCGTACAATTTATCCAGANCTTTAAAACACAACATTGTGAATATTCATTCTATCTAAAACCGTACCATTTAACTATCTACACTTTTCTCACAGACACTAACAACACTTAACCTTAACGCAAATGAAATCGGACAGATAGGAGCAGAAAATCTCGCCGATGCTCTACAGCAAAACACTGTGAATATTCATTCTATCTAAAACTGTACTATTTAACTATCTACATTTTTCACACAGACACTCACAACACTTAATATCGGAGGCAATGAAATCGAAGACACAGGAGCCGAACATCTTGCTAATGCTCTACAACACAATACTGTGAATATTCATTCTATCTAAAACCGTGTCATTTAACTATCTACATTTGTCACAGGCACTGACAACACTTGAACTCTGGAGGAATACAATCGAAGAGAGAGGAGCAGAACATCTTGCTGATGCTCTAAAACACAATACTGTGAATATTCATTCTATCTAAAACTGTACTATTTAACCATCTATACTTTTCACACAGACACTCATAACACTTGATGTCGGAAGCAATAAAATCGGTACCAGAGGAGCAGAACATCTTGCTGATGCTCTAAAACATAATACTGTGAATACTCATTCTATCTAAAACTGTACCATTTAACTATCTACACGTTTCACACAGACACTCACAACGCTTAATATCGGAGGCAATCAAATCGGTGCCAGAGGAGCAGAACATCTTGCTGATGCTCTAAAACACAATACTGTGAATATTCATTCTATCTAAAACCGTACCATTTAAGTATCTACACTTGTTACACAGGCACTCACAAGACTTGAGCTCTGGATGAATAAAATTGAAGAGAGAGGAACAGAACATATCGCTGATGCTCTACGACACAATACTGTGAATATTCATTGTATCTAAAACCGTACTATTTAACCATCTACACTTTTCACACAGACACTCACAACGCTTAATATCGGAGGCAATCAAATCGGTACCAGAGGAGCAGAACATCTTGCTGATGCTCTAAAAAATAATACTGTGAGTAGTCATTCTATCTAAAACTGTACCAAGTTTAACTCTCTACACTTTTCACACAGACACTCACGACACTTAATATCCGAAGCAATGAAATCGGAGACGAAGGAATAGAACATCTTGCTGATGCTTTACAACACAATACCGTGAGTACATATTTTATATAAAATCGTATAATTTTACGATTTACACGTTTCACACAGACACTCATAACACTTCGTGCCGAATTGAATAAAATCGGAGACAGAGGAGCAGAACATGTCGCTGATGCGCTACAAAACAATACTGTTAGTACATATTCTATCTAAAACTTTAGCATTATGCCATTCACACTTTTCACACAGACACTCACAACGCTTGACGTTTGGGGAAATTTAATTGAAGACGAGTTGTTGAGGGGGGTGATGAAATTGATCGACCGTAATAAGGGTGAAAAAAGTGTTGAAAATTAAGAGTGAAAATGGCGTGATGAGCAGGGATAAACAAATCTATTAAATATACGACTTAAGTCTATTGTTTTCCTTAGATTCTTACCCGACAGGAAGTTCTTCGGATCTCAATAAATTTAAGTCAGCTAAACATTTTTAGGTTTTTTTTGGGTTGAAAGTTGTAGATATGGGATACTTCTGTTCTTGGAAATAGGATATGTACTTTGGACGAAGCGGAATTGTGTATATCTCGAGTTTATCAAGTCGCATACATATTTTTTAAACGTACTCTCGACAATGAGCGATATTGAAATAGATGTTTCAAGCGTATCACTTAGCGGGATTCTTAAATATGTTATATGAAAGGATACTTGTGATTTTCCATTCACTTTATGCAGTTTAGTTGCCGTTAATGATCAATTGAATGTTGAAGTAATGCATGAAGAAAATAATTTTGATGTCTTCAGGTGTGGATGGGGCAGGATGGCGTGTGAACGATGGGGGAGTGCATGGGTCTTGGTCTGATGGATGGGGTTATGTATAAATGTCGTTCTTCTGATCACAGCCACAGCCGCACTCACCCACACCTACACACCCACACGTGCACCCACTCCGTCATGGTGTGAACAATGACTTATAGTAGGAGTCATATCAAGAAGTATTTCAATGATGATGGAATTAAAAGCACTGAAACTCTTGGAAATCTTAACGCTAGATAGTTTGTTAGATCAGCCAAAAAAATATTACGATGTTCACCGGTACTCACGATCGCGGATACTAGTGAGAATGAGAATACAGAAAGTTGCTGACTTGAATATTTATGAGTCATTGAATAAGAATGATGTTAATGCAAAGAAGTTCATCACAGTTTCATTTGATTTCATCGAATGATCAAGTTCGGCTTGATTTAATCAATTCCTTCTCAAAACCAAAATGGAATCACATTCATTATTATTGATTGCTCAAACGACCTTCAATTTTCTCATACATCATTTTGTTGTTTGAAAATAAGTTATATATGTATATTTATGCTTTTTACGAGGGCATGGAAGAAAAACAATAAATTGAAAATGCTGAAACGTTCAGAAAGCATTAATTTATTTTCAAGCGACAGTTTCATATTAAAAAAATTGCCAGAAATAATTGAGTATGTGGATGTGAATGTGAGTTATCGGAATACTCTCGTCCACAAATGTTCAACAATTTAGAGGATACAATGTCAATCTGATTCTTTATGCTATGCTTTATTCAAACTTCAACAGAATAGTAAAAATTGACAAAGCCTAATTCATTTTAATGGAAAGAATTGAAATTTTTGACATTGATTTTTCAAAATGTGGATGGTCTTTACATTTTTATCATAGAAATCTTGAAGTTACCTATAGAGATGATCAAGTAATACTACATGTACTCGAAGTTATTGCGTGATTGTTCACAATCTTCAAATTTCTATCGCCTGCATTTGCAAATTGAATTTCTTTGATTTGGTTTTTATTGAATTCTAATGTTTTCTGACGAATATCATTCAAATCAGTATCGATATTTTTATGTTCGTCTGTTGTAATAACAAAATCCGGAACTTGTACGTCGTTATTGTCATCGTACTTTTCATCATCCGAATTATTTACCATTTTTGTCATATCAAGAGTCTCTGAATTGTCTAATGATATAATCATGACTTGGGATCGTATTTCTTCGTCATTTTTCATCTTGGAAAGTGAATGCCGTTCATTTAAACGAGTAACGATACGAAAGAGACTATTAGGTGACGCAAACTTTTGTACATTTGCTTGGTCATTTTTCTTCTTTTTAGATTGCTGGTTGGTTTTATCATTATCATTATCAAGATCAGATTCATCTTCATCGCTTGAACTCATATTGCCACATTTCTCCACATGATCAACAAGTCTTTTTGTTGCAGATTTGCTCAAACGCTGAAGATTTCTATTGCAAAAACAAAACTATAAATCTGTTTCTAACTATAAGTTTGGCAAAGAAATGAGACTGATTCTATCGCTGTCTAATCAATTAATTTATAATAATTTTCGTAAAATTGGACTTTTTTAGCACAATTTTCCTTCTTTATTTTCAAATCTTAGATGACATTGGTCACAATTGAGAAGAATATTTCTCATTTGAATTGATTGTCAATTCGAGAGTCAATAAAAATAAAACTAATCTGAGGAATTCGATTTGCATTACATCTTTCCAAATCTGTGGTATGTAACAGCCTATTGATATAGTTGACTAACTCCTATAGATCGATAGATGAGTAATTCTTAGTAGAAAATGTTATCATCAGAGAACAATCTATTGTNGAATAGAGTTCCTTGAAAATTTTGAACGGTAGAAAAAATAAATAATTATTTTGAATGGTAATTTATCGATGAACGAATTCTACACAAGGTATGTTACCAAACCTTTATCATTGAGAAACTCAAAAGGGTTTTTGACCAAACCTCTGGGATAACACAAAATTCGAAAGGTTCAGGACGAAACCTTTTTATATTTTAAAACTCTTTGAAGTGTTTTACAAAACCTTGGATATTGCTAATCCTCATACAGGTTTCGCATGGTTCTACGGATACTTATATAGTATAGTAAAACTCCACGAAACCTCAGAGGTTTCGTGTGACACCTTTTTTTTTTTCAGTGTATAGATCGATAGATGAGTAATTCTTAGTAGAAAATGTTATCATCAGAGAACAATCTATTGTTTTTATCTATTAGATACTGACACGTTTTAGAGGATATCGTTTTTAGATGGTAAAGTCGTATAATTCATAAACGACAGGTGATACAGATGAAACTCTTGCCGAGAATACATCCTATTCCGCGATGCTGTACATTGCGGAATCGATTCCGCCTCTGAAATCAGTGCCATCCGATTCCGGAATTCACAATTGTCCAACTAACTCCCCTTATTCGAAAATGATCGAGTTCCTTCGAACTTCGGAATTACCGAAATTGCATCCGATTTCCCAATTGGATGCCATTTCGAAAGGGAATTTTAGGAATCAGATGGAATCGGAATCGGAATCGGACGGGATTACTACTGATTCCCAGCGATCCCGTTTAATTCCTCTCAATTCCAGAATTAGGTTGTGATTCCGGGGAATGGAACGGAACTGCTGGAAATTGCTAGCGATTCCTTCTAATTCCGTCTGATTCTGCTCCTCTGTAATTCTCGGAATTCCGTTTCACCCTAACCCAAACCATGTCTTATGTGTTCGTAGTCAAATATCTATATTGAGGAATTTCGGTACGGAATTCTGGGTATTAAATCGAGGTGGAATCAGACGAAATCGCTGGGAATCAGTAGTAATTCCGCCCGATTCCGCAATGTGCAACATCGCGGAATAGGATGACTGCTCATGTTACATATACCTGCTTGGTAATGCTTGTATTCTTGCTTGTAATGTAGGATCATCAGGATCGGCAATCATTAATGTAAGTAAACGCCGATCATTCATAGCTAATACCAGAAAATCATTATCGGCTACCATAGACAAGACAAAATCATAAACAAATAATTTTGACATTTGTCGACGATCAGTCATTCGATACATGAATAACACTCGAGGTTTGACTAATGCGAAAACATAAGTTGCTGATTCATTGAAACATAAGTATTGACATTCATTATCGAGTTGAATCGGTTCATAGCATGTACATGAACGAATGTCATGCAAGTTAAGTTGAGTTCTTCCATTATTGTACGTAGCAAGGCAATTATTTTGTAGACAAAATTTATCAGCTTGATCGAATGGAGTAAACTGAAGTGAGCCTTTCTCATTTGATTCATTAAGTTTTACTTGACACGAGATGAGAGTTTTATTATTAAAATATAATAACAATAAATGTTGTGTTTTTTCACTAGTGATTGATTTCAATGGTGATGATGATGAAATGTAAGGTGAAACATCGACGTCAATATAGATAACTCGTTCCATAGTACAAATCACCATCGATTGCCCATTGTCAGCAAAAACAACAAAACTTTCTAGTCTATTGAGAGTTAAGACAGAACTTAGCATAATTGGGTGGGTGTGGGTGTGGGTGTGAATTTTGACCTATCGTATGGTTATTCCCACACACCCCACCCACACCCTTCACACCCCACACCCACACCCACACTCTTCACACCCCACACCCACACCCACCGACCTACACCCACACCCAAACCCACAAACACCCTCACCCATAAACATCCACACACGTGCTCACACCCGCAAACACGCATCCCTACATCCAAACCCACACCCACCTTTCAACAAAATAATCGAAAAATGTAAATTTTTATAGTGTTTTGATAGAAAAGTCACTTTCCTAACGTAGGAGAAGAATGGAACTCTTTGAAAATGTTTGACTAAACCTTTAGGAAAGTAGTTGGAATAATCTTTCTATATATAATTCGGCGCGTCTTCATCTGCTCTTTTCGACGGTGAAAACCGAAGATCTCTGTCTCATTGCTATCGGAAGTTATTCAAAAAATGCCCAGGACCATTTAACTCTGAAATGGAAATTAGAATGGTCATTTGTGCCACAGAAATGGTTATTTTTGCTATGGAAATAGTCATTTGTGGCAAGGCCTTGCTTCAGACAGATAGACACAGGTGAATTATGGTTTCTAGACCTTCTTTTCAGTCTAGGAAATATCCACACCTATATCCTCAACCTCACAGACCCACAGCCACACTCACACCCAAACCCTGCCACAGGTACACATACGCACACACAGCCACAGGTACACATACTCACACACGGCCACAGGTGCACATACTGGCACTTACACCCACACAAACCCATACCGACACCCTCATACTGGACAAATGAATAGATTATGTATCAAAACTAAGAATACTGCATGTCGTTTTTTCTCCTGTGGCATAGTGCAGATAATTTCCTCCGTGGTGCATTCATCAATATTTTGCACTAGTTACGCGGCTTAGTGACTTGTTGGCAATAGTGCGTTAGAGAGTTTTACGACATACTGAAGATAACATATCCTTCTCAGAGAAGTAAATAAAAGCATAAATTTTATGATGAAGACATTAAAAGAAAGAAACGCATATTTATGTTTTATTTGTCTAATGTCAGTTGACAGTGTGTTTTAAGGTATCGTGAGTCAATATCGCCTTAGAGTAATTCAATCTTTCGAGTGGCCTTATTCTGAATAAATTTCATTTTGTCGCATCTACATTCTCACAATGTATTTCAAGTTTGTAAGTTTATTTGACTGACACAATCGTTTGTGCCCACGTTTAGATGTGTACTTTTCGTTCTTACTGGTTCTATTTTGTTCATCTTGAGATTATTATTGTTAGCTTTATCATTAAGTCGAGTTGACCCGTTTACGGAATTCTGTATTCTTCGTGTGACAGTGTCATTTGGTAGAATTCACAGATATTTTCGCGGAAGCTAGTGATTGTAAATTGGAAGTCGAAATTTTGAGGCTTACTGTCCCAATTTCAGATNCTTCGTATTTGCGAAAAACAACTTGTTGAAGATCTTTACTTTTCATCTTATACTGAGGACAAGATACGTTCGAATGAAATACGAAGTATATATTCTTGTAGAGAATGAAAAGACGAATCGTTTGAAAAAAAAATTAACCCCGAACGAATTAGTTTTGACAAAGATGTCAGTAAAATACTGAGAGGCTCATTATTCCTGGGACACCCGTTATTTTCAGATGGTCAACTCACATCACTCATACATGACACGTGATGCAAAATGGTAAGTTCCTCATTAATAGTAGGTTCTTTAAAAAGAAATTTTTTAAGAATTTATTTAAAAGAATGAAAGACAAGATTAGTATATGTACTGATGTAAAATATCTATTGTTTTTACCACGCATTATACCGAAATAATCACTGAAGTCCGAAACAATGAAATTTTTACTCAATTCGATTAAAATCTTTCGTACAATTCTTGCATTAAATACTATTATAATATTTTACTCTTCATTGTTCTCATTTTACATACCTGCTTGGTAATGCTTGTATTCTTGCTTGTAATGTAGGATCATCAGGATCGGCAATCATTAACGTAAGTAGACGGCGATCATTCATAGCTAATACGAGAAACTCATTATCGGTTACCATAGACCAGACAAAATCATAGACAAATAATTTTGCCATTTGTCGACGGTCACTCATTCGATACATGAATAGCACACGAGGCTTGATTAATGCGAAAACATAAGTTGCTGATTCATTGAAACATAAGTACTGACATTCATTATCTAGTTGAATTGACTCATCGCATGTACATAAACGAATATCATGTAAAGCAAGCTGAGTTTTTCCGTTATTATAAGTTGCAAGGCAATTATTTTGTAGACAAAATTTATCAACTTGATCGAATGGAATAAATTGAATTGAATCTTTTTCATTTGTTTCATCAAGTTTTACTTGACATGAAATGAGAGTTTTATTATTGAAATATAATAACAATAAATCTTGTGTTTTTTCACTAGTGATTGAGCTCAATGGTGATGATGGAGTGTAAGATGAAACATCGACGTCAATATAAATAACGCGTTCCATGGTACAAATTGCCATTGATTGTCCATTGTCAGCAAAAACAATAAGACTCTCTAGTCCATTGAGAGTTAAGACAGTACTTAACATCATTGAACATGAAATCTTTAATTGACTATTGGCTTGCTGATTGAAATGAAACCCATTGTCAGAAGTAATCTGTTGAACGATAGAATAGACGATACCATTACATGTTAAAACGTAAAAGCTTCCACTAATTGTTGAATGGACTCGTGCTGGAGAACGAAGATGAAAACTATAAAGAGCTTCATCATTGAGTGATTTAGCCGAATAGATTTCAATCCAATGGTTAGTTGTCAGTATGAGTACAAATAATATCTCTGAATTTAAATTATTAGACGCAATGACAAACTCATTTATAGTTACATCATCGAGAAACAAACGAGTAGAATGAATAGATGCTGCATATTGATATGACCATGATGTAAGTTCACTAGAAAAAAACTTTTTATAATATAGAGAACAATTCTTTACTTAGATATCGACGTTTTCTAAAGATATATGCATTCATTATTCTATTTTTCATTACTATAGATTGACATAAGTCATTTAAATTATTCGAAAAGTTATACGATACAATATATGATTATTTGCTCCAGAAAAAATAACTATTTAGCACATTATTGTGAATCGAATCTGCTCATAGAATACTCTTTAGAAATGTTCGAAGTAAATGAATTTCAATTTGATTGTTTCTCCTCAGAAAAATAGAACTTTTGATGATATTTTTTTGTCTCATACTGTTCAAACGAAATTAAAATAGAAGATCATGATGTAATTACCGTTTTGAACCATCAAGAGTAATTGCAATCTTATTAAGCAGTTGAACAGTTCGTATAACTTCGTTTGTACGTGGCAACGAAGGCATATTTTTGAATGCTTCTCGTGCATGTGTTGCATGATATACTTGAAAGACTCCGTTTTCCAATGAACATACGAATAGAGACGCTACAAAAGATACAATAAAATAAAATCTAACATGTTCTTGATTAATGATCAATTAAAATATCTATTCAAAATAATTTAAACAAAAACCTAAAGAATAAAAAATTGAAATGCAATCGGATAATGTTAATAGTGACTGAAAGCTTGTGCTATGTTTTATGCAGCTTGCAGCGACACCTTGAGCAAGTATCCTAGCACGTACATATTAGTTATGAGTAATATGCTTACAAAATATGAGAAATTAACTATAGTCATTCGTTTTTTTTTAATAACCTATCATATTAATTGTCCAATTTGTATAATTGGAACTGATTAAATCTGTATCATTTATATTCTGATGATTTCAAATAAAATTTTCAATTTGAAGATAGATAATAATCAAAGGTTAGAAACACTCATTTCAGTATCATTTTATTCGATTCTTATAGTCTTGTCATTCATCAACATATAATAGGTGGAAACTTTTCGAATTCACTTCTGTCGATTCATTGCATATTCTATCAAATAAGAAGAATTTTATGCAGTTCATTCATGTTGAAAATCTATTCGATTTGTAGAATTATCTGTTGGGAATACGAACTTTCCAAGACTTTTAAAATGTGAAATAAATTTTCTATTTCACATAGTATTGGTTATAAAGAAATTACACATTGTGCGACTGTTCTATATGTACACCCATTTGTCATTTCATTTACGAGAAAAAACAATAGCATAAGAAACGAATCTATGCTCTATGCAAAACAAGCTCTTTTTTTGCTTCTTCTTACACAAAGAGACATTTTAGAATTGATTGATTTTAATTCAATTTTATTTTCATTTAAAGATACTACATGTTGGTTAAAACATTTCAATGAAAACGATTTTTATTCATTTTGCAGTTATTTTTTATCAACTATTGAAATTTGATGAAGAAGCATGTATACATTAGTTTTCAGCACAATGCAAAGTAAAAATCTAGCTGATTCTCGGTTGATCAATTATTAATTCAAAATGAATGAGTTCATTCCTAGTCGACACGAAGAAACGAAAAGAAAAGCTCAAATTGACGTTCAAACTCAGACCTACAGAGTTGAATACATACAAAACACATGTCAAGAAATGCGATAAAAGTGAAAGAAACAGAAATTTCGATTATCGTTCGTTCATTTAGATTTTTAAAATGGACAGATTTCCTTTGTCGGAATCGGCATGGTTACTTTATGAATGATGTCTAGACGTATTCGAGGATTATAGATCTATAGAATGCACTCTACTACTATTGTAGGGTGTATCCTAGAAAAGCTAGTAAGTATCATTCAATAATTTCATAAACGTACTGTCTATTTGTGTTGAGTCGATATGCATTCGACGAAGAGCTTGCTATATTTTTATCCTGTATCGTCTTGAATACGAACCGATATATGCTTCTTCGACTAATTCAAAAAGTTCATAAGAACTATGGCTACAAACTAATTTCCAAATATTATGGATATAATTCTTTACAATTGCAATATAAGAAAGTGGTTTATAGATTCTAATAGTAGTTCGATAATCTAAGAACTTAGAGCATAGATTATCAAAATTTCTGATTGTCAGTAATTTTGGGAAATGAAAATTTTCTACTCGACATACTTCAATACTTCTTATAGATCATGTTTCAAAATTAAAAATATTTACCATTGCCAGCCTTAGCTTTAATAGAAGTTACTCGTGATGAACTGATATCGATAGAGATATACAATTGATATTTATGATTCCTGCTGCTACAATCTTTGCCTTCAATACAAACCCATTTGTGAAGTTCGACAATACCACCACGAGCTGTATATAATGTGCGTGAGTTGTTTGCATGCATCGACACAATATCAAATTGACCATTAATACGAATATAAGATATGTCTTTCTTATTACATTTATGAACGATAAATACAGCATCTTTTGTCTTAGTCATAAAGAAAGGGAAACCTAATTGAATATCGTTGAATGACATTGACTCTGTGTCGGGTAATATGATACTTTTCATTGGTTTTGGTCTTATCGGAGGATTGAAAGCAACTAATGTTTTAAGTACTTGTTTATCGGATAAAATTCGCTCCGTTTTATGAAATTGCTTTAAACCAATTAGAGCAAAATCAATAGGAATATTTGTATCAAATGTAAGGATTAACACTCCGCAAGTAACTGCGACTAAATCAAGATGAATTCCAGCTTGAATTGAACCTCGATGAATGAACGATGACTGTGTCCAATCAGTAATCGAATAAAACTGAATAATGCCATCTTGAAGAACAACAATAACCATCGAATAGACTTCAGCACAAAGAACATATTTTACTTTTGCTTTAGGAAAATCAATCCGATGGAACAATCGATTTCTTATCACATCCCAACACTCAACATAATTTGTATTTTGTTCTGCTACAATACAGAGTGCACGTTTCTTATCAAGCATTTCAACATCTAAATAACCAACTTTGGACGAATGTTCAAATTTAATATTTCCATTAGCTGATACAAGATAAATATGATGTAAAGAATTAACAAGAAATACATATCTTTTAAATTCATCATTTTTATCATTTGATGACCATGCATCTTTTATTTCATTTTGTCCATCGAAAGTATATGTTTCTGGTAATGTAGTTGAATTCAAATATGATTCATCCAAGTTTGGCAGGTTAATATCTAAAACTGTACGTATTTCTCCCATATCTATGACAATGATTCTATCCGAAAGAGTTATAGCTTTCATTTGATCTTCTGTAAAATCGAAATCGACTATAGATGCCGTATGTCGATTCATTGAATAGATTAAACCACTACCTGGTGGTTGAATTTGACAGTAAGGTACAATTAGAGAACAGTAGTGAACACTTTGTTCGTCGATTTGTTTGATAAGTTTAGTAATAAATGGTTTAATACCAAATAGACTTAACAAACGTGAAGATACTTCAAAAGCAAAATTTTCCGGATATTGTTGAAGTAGACCACCAATAATCAAATACAGCATGGAAAAATTTTTTATCTCTGACATCGTAGCTTTGGCTTCATCTGATAAACCATACGATGATGACTGAGTAAAACGTTGAATTTCATTTATGATATCATTAAAACTTGAACATGCAACCTTAGCACCTAAAATAGACAAAATATTATTAATCATGAATAAGTTATTATTGTTGCTTTTCTCTTTCTTATACTATAATAAAATCAATACTTTACGCATAAATGTATAGTTAAAAACCACTTCTTGAGCAATAATTGGAATTGCTAAATTTGTTGTTAATTCATTCAAGAATGAAGGTAATTCATTCAATTTTCTTTTGTTAAATTGAATACGACCATTAGCATCAATGAATTCGATTGGTTGTGAAGTTATAAATCGATTTGCTTGAATTTCACCATTTGATTCATTTAAATTATACTTATTTAGTAACTTCGGATCATTTATTTTGAATGGTTTACTTTTGCCTTTCCATGTTTCTTTGTATAGATCAACCATATTTTGAAAAATAGCTGATCGTTCTTTAGAATTCATTTTTGAAATATATTGAGAATTTACAACTTCAATAAATCGACGATGGTACCTGCATAGGATTTATATAATCAAACAAAATGCAGAACATATTGAACTCTATTCTGGAGAGTATTCATTTTTTTTTACTGCTCATTATATCTTTTAAAAATTTCAAATGACTTTATATATTGGAAATGATTCTTCTAGTACAATGTTCTATGAACACTGAATACGAACTTTTTATATCATAAGATACTGTTATATATTGGATTTTTATTGAAACAAGAAAATGAATTTGATTGATCATTATATTTGTTTTTATAATATTCTGAACTATTAAACGACTCATATAAGTTTTGAGTTCTTATAGATTC